GGACATCCTTTTTGGTTGAGGGCCAGAGAAGACCCTCAGTGAGATGCATTGACACAGTGGCTGCAATGGGCTCCAACATCGCAACAATTGTGAGAACGGTGCAGGACCGAGCAGTGTTTCCTCAGTTATATGTGCCAGGTCACTATGACCTTGAACTGACTCAATGATACATACCAACAACAGCAGCAGCAACAGCTCAACTTCTAGAAGCAGGATTTGAATAATCCTGGAGCCCTGGTGGTGTAGCGGTTACATGGTGGGCTGCTAACTGCAAGGTCAGCAGTTTGAAACCACCAGCTGCCCCGAAGGGCAAAGATGAGGCTTCCAACTCCCATAAAGAGTCACAGTCTTGGAAACTTGCAAGGGGCAGTTCCACCTTATCCTATAGGGCCACTGTAAATTGGAATAGAATCGATGGCAGTGAGTTTGTATTTGTTGCTTCATCCTGCCCCACGGTGATTCTGTCTTTAGCAGTTGTTGCTTTATCCTGATCCGGGGCGATTCTGTCTTTAGGGCACATATATGGGACCTAATTCTTTTTCCAGGTCCTACTCTGTGGGGTCATGGGGAGGGATAGGAATCGCCAAGTGGCTGATGGAGAAGAGGCAGCATGAAAGGCTATGCTCCCCGGGAGGGTAACACGATGGGAACAATCTGCAGCAAGATGACAAAGAGAAGCATCTGTGAACAGAGAGGGAGGGGGGCTGGGGAGGGCTGGCCCCGGGACGGGAGAAGCCGGCCTACAAGCAGGTCCGTGGTAGGAAGGGGACGAGGGGACCGAGAAATGAGAGCAGGGGAGGCAGCTGCTCCAGAGGAAAGATGAGACGCTCCTCTTTGATGAGGGAAGAAGATAGACAGGACGGGTTCAAGGCAAAAGGACTGTCCCTAGGCCAGAAGCTGCACTCTAAGTTCTGCTTCTGACTCTTGCGGCTACTCCATTCTACATTAATTTCGCGAATATTTGGGTTCAGGGATGAGCTTTGGCTAAGGCAGTGGAAGCACCATGCTTTAAAAAAAAATAATGGATTGGAAAATCTTCATATGGCTACTTTAAAAAAATTTTTTTGGAAAGGTGAAACTGACCTATCCAGTTTAGTTCTGATCATGATTGAAAATGTGGGTGCTTATTCTCTAGCTTTTTCTGGGGGCTTATTCTCTAGCTCCATGGGTGAAATCATTCCCCCCATAGTCCCCATGACTGATTCCCTACCCTCTGCTAGGTTTGAGGATTATAAAGAGAAATAGTTGCACACTCTGTCTGAAAGCTGTTTAAAGATCCTGGGGAGACAGAGCCATATGCTAAAGGTATCAGCAAAAGGGTACAACGAGGCAGAGAAGGAGGGGCTCTAGCCATTTCTCTAGTCAGTCCCCACACAGCGTCCCCTGAAAGGCCCCTCACAGTCCTGACGCTCACCCGGACCGTCCTTCGAACCCCAGGTCACACGTCATTTTGTTTACAGAGGACCTTGAATCTTAAAAGTTCGAATTAATCTTTTCCCTCAGTGTGCTTCTTTAACACGTTATTTATATCTGTTTTAACATTTGCTACAACTAGTTTGGGGGGGGGGTGTTTGTTTTCTTAGCTATGTAGGGCGAAGGCATACATATACATAGAGAATGTCTTGGTGCCACTTGGGGCTAGGTGTTGGGCTGCTAATGGGAAGTTCAGTGGTTGTAAACTGCCAGCCAATTCTGGGGAGAAAGATGTGGTTGCCAACAAGATTTAAAACCTGAGGGTCACTGTGAGTCAGAATCCACTCAGGGGCAGTGAAGTTACCAATAAGTACATGCTCAGCCTCTTTGTCAGCAGGGGGATGCCTGCAGGTCTGAGCATGGACCCTTCTTCCAATACTTTTGTCCACCAAGAACAGCTGGCATTAATGAGAATGATTGTAGGATTCAATGCCTTCAACTCTTTCATTGAGAAATCAGATTTTTTTGAATTTCCAGATCCTTTTAGGCTTGTAGCATTAACTGATCCTAAATAATGGGCAATGAAAATCATTATTGAGGTTCTTCTTGAGAATTTTCCAATATGTCTGAGGGACCCTGGTAGTGAACAGGTGCCCTGAACAGTCTGAGAAGACAACAGATCACACGTCTGTTGAGAGAGGTGCCCATGCACACATGTCCTCGCCCATCACAACTACAGCACATGCAGCAGGTGTGCCCACATCTGACAGTTTACTCCATTCCATTCTGCTGCTACGGACAGTCTCTGCCCTTTCCCAGCTCACAGCTGCCCCACCCCCACCCGGTGACTCTGACCTAGTCTTAAAGATGTCCCCCCCCCGCCCCCAACTCATGCAAACCAGGGGGGCTTCAAAAAGTTCCTTGAGACATTCCATTAGCTTTAAATCCCATTTTAGTACAAAGATCTTGAAGCCTCGTCATACATGCCTATCTGCCTATTTCTCCATCTTCACAGTGATATATGACCACTCAGCTAAAGACCAGCTAGTGCTAAACGTTCTCCCCATTCCCCACAGACGTGGTCTACCAGGGCTGGTTTTCAGTTACGTTTCTTGTGGAGAGCGCTTCCCAAGGCCACTCGGTGGCAGAGACAGCGTGAGAGTGTGAGAGCCAGCTATATTGGGGCTGACATCCTAGTTCTGCCATTTAAGATTTGCGTGACCTTGAGAAAATTACATAACCTCTTAGCTTGAGGATTTCCTTATTTCCCAAAGGAAGATAGGTGCTTCAAGGAGGGATGAGGATTTGGGCTAATGTAAGTGGAGGGGAGCTACGGGGTCGTGTTCAGTACATGACAGTTAGTAACGGGGCAGGTGATGATGAAGGGGAAGTGTAAGGGAGGAGGAGGAGGAGAGATGGTGGTCTTAGCAAAGCTTAGCTGAACATGACTGTTAGGCTTTCTCTGAGGAGTATTAAGCCAGATGTAGAGGGAAGCGAAGTCGTGGAGGGAGTCCATGAAGAGTTAACACTCATTAGCTATTCATGGATTCCCTCAACTAGTTCTCTACTAACATGTGATTGTTAGTATTGCAACATGTGAGCTTACACACACACACACACACACACACACACACCACAACACACACCCCTTCCTCCGCATTTCACAAAGTGAATTCAGCATCTTTTGAGACCAGGCCATTTTTGGTAGTTAAACAGGGCTAGACTTCAAAAAGCACAATGAACAAATGCTGTGGCCCCCACAGGGGCTAATCATAACAGTTCCTGTTGCGGCAGCAGGTCTCTGCTGTCGGCTCTGCTGGGAAACTCTAGTAACTGTGAGATACCCTGTAGACGACAGGACAAATGCCAGCTACTATCTGAAGTCACAGAGTCAGAATGCACAGCTAAGGACCTAGCAGCAGTTGTGGTCTGAGCCGTCCACAGGACCAGGAGGAAAGAGGAAGCTCCAAACTACACTGAACATGCCCCGGAGGAGAGGGCCATTTAGGGCCTGCCAAGGATGCCATTCTGCTTGCCAACACATTCTACCTACCATCCGAATCCACAAAACATTTCCCTCGCCACGCCAGAAGGCAAGTGACTAATGCTAAAGGTGGCCTGTGCATCACGTCAGTGATGACTGCCCGGGAGTCAATTAAACATGACAAACACCTGGTGACCATCTGGCATTTCCCAGCGAACTGTAGCCAATGGCCGATAAAACACAAGTGATCACCAGCACAGGGAAATGTAGCAGCCCTCACTGCCTTGTTCAAAAGCCACCAGGGCCCCGGAGACAAGGAACCTGGAAGACCTCCAAAAGAGGAGGAGGGCAGGGAAAACCCTGCCTTGGAAGCCAGCCTTGCTCTTCCTCATGCATAGAAAGCACAGATCTGGGGTTGCATGGGGTCATCTTCCCAGCCAGCAAAAGGCAGGCTAGTCGGAGGAGGCTAGGGGGGGGCGGGCGGTTGACTGGTGTTCTAGGGGTTAGCATCAATTGCCACACTTCCAGGTGGAGACAGTCAGTCCTCGGCTCCTAGAACACTGTCCAAGTACCAGCATTACAGCATGTTACCCGGCAAGCTTGGGCAAGATCGCTGTAACTCAAACACCCTCCCCTTGAATCCATGCTTTACCAGCTTCTGAGCAAAAGGAAGAGGGCCATTCAACAAATCGGACGAGAATGGAGTCAAGGCAGAAAACCTGTAGGAGAGACAGGACTTGGAGCAGAAGTGCCTTTCCAGGCTGCAGTTCTACATCAGACAGGCAGACAGACACCTGTGTATATATAGACAATGCTTCTAACATCGGCACCTCCTCACACCTAATGACTGCCTGTGATGAGCACTGGCATTCTCTATTTATGGCTTCCCCAACAACAAAAAGATGTCTTCATCCTCTGAACCTGTTTTCTACAGCAATCTATCTTTTGTTTGTTTGTTTCTTTCCCCAATATCGGAAGTCAGATACACCAGAAAGAAAATATTTGTAATTTTGATTCAGAGGTAAAATTGGTAAGGGTTTTTTAAAAAAACTCATTTGCCCTTGATCTCTCCTGCTTCTCCCTAAGTGGTTCTAGTCAATGCACCCAATCACATGCACCGCCTCAACATTAAGAGGATAATATTCTTAAAACGAGACTAAACCCACTGCTGTGGAGCCCATTTCCCCCCCGGCCAGTGACAGAGTAGAACTGCCCCCATGGGATTTCCAAGTCTGCAAATCTTTATGGAAGCAGACTGGGCCGCATGTTTCAGAGAGGCGAATGGGTTCGAACCCCCACCTTGGGGGCTAGCAGTTGAATTCTTTATCCACCGTGCCACCGGGGCTCCTTTCGAATGAGTCTATGCAAGCAATAACATAAGATCGTGGCGCTAATATGTTCTCGCATCTCCTTTGTCAGTGATGCAGTGTACTTAAATCTCTTCTAAAGTACTCCTTCCGCGTTGCTTGTAAATCAAAAAGGGGGTTGAGTTGAGGTCGCTGACAATCGTTTTCTCCGCACAATAGAGAAGCAGCCCAGCCCGCGAACAGCACTAAGATGGCAGAATTAAACACAGGAGGAACAAGTAGGAACAGCAGAATACCTGGGATCGCCAGATTGGAAAGGGGGACGTTGTGGAGGTGAGGGGGCAGCGAGGCCATCCAGTCGGCGTTGCAGACCTCCGACGCCGTCTTTGTCCCGCTGGGGTTCGGGGAGCAGATGGTCCCCATCCTGAGTTTCCTCCTGGCTTTCCGCACTGCTAGCATCCCTCTTATAAACCGAGTGTCCAGGCTCGGCCCAGGGCCACTCACTCAGTGGTCATCACTGCCTGGGCCCTGGGGACATGTCAGGGCCACCTTGGTCACGCCCGACTCTCCACAATTCCTTTCCGCCAAGGAGACAGGGGCAAATAGGGGGGTTCCCTCCCGGCCCCTCCGCACCTGCAGTCCCACCCCGTGCGCCCACCTCCCTCAGTGGGCTGGCTTCCCGCCGCGCCAAACTTGGGACGTTCCCGGGCCGAGCCGCCGGAGGAAGGTGGGCTCCGGGAGCGGGATGGATCTCACGGGGACCGGGAGTCCGCGGAGCAGCCACGCCCGGCGCCACTCACACGACAGGTGCCCGCCCGGCACACACGCGCGCCGGAGGGTCCCCACACGTGTGCGGGCCCCGCACGCCACCTCCCGTCTGGTTTAAGCTGCTGGACTTGCACACGCTGGGCCCGCCGGCTAAACGCCCCCCGGCTTCTCGGCAGCACGCCTCCAGCCCCGCCGCTTCCGAAAGGCTCGAGGAACTGGACCCCGCGGCGCCCGGCGGCCCCGCCCCTCACTGCCGGGCAGGGGTGCCGGGCCAGGCGGCTCGTGATTGGCCGGCCGGCGAGGCGCTCCACGATTGGCCGGCGCCCTGGTGGGCGGTCCCTCGGCTCTGCGCGCCGCGCTTCCGCACGCCTAGTCTCCTGTTACTCCGGCAGATTGCGCTGCAGGGTCGGCCGACCTGGAGACTCCAAGCACTGGCCAGTGGGAACACGGATCGGTTGTCTTGGCTCCGCCCTTTCACCAGCAGCCGGCCTTCAGAGGTGTAGCTCCGCGTGTTTCCTTCCATCCTTCCTTCTCTGTCTCCCACCCTAGTGCACAGACAGTGGATTACATTTTTGTAAGCCGCCGAGGTAGCAAAAAGATGCGTGGAAAAGAGCCCGAGGGAAAAGTGTTCTATCGAGGATGGTGTGCAATCGGAGCATTATATACAGAAGCCTCATCTACACACCGCTCTGCAGCATTTTACAGATAATGATATTTTATATTTGCATATCCTGTTGCTCGGAACCCTCATTTAAATTATTTGACCTTGGCCTTGATTCATAGTGACTCCTACCAGGAGTGAGTAGAACTGCCCCTTCGGGTTTCAGAGACTGTAATGCTTTACGGGAGTCGAAAGCCTCATCTTTCTCCAGAGGAGCAGCTGGTGAATTCCAGCTGTGGACCTTGCGGTTAGGAGCCAGACCCTTAACCCACTACGCCACCAGGGCTTCTGGTCCCAAGTCACTTAGCGAACAATTTACCCTGTGGCACTATTTGGAAATTCTCTTTCAGATTGAGCAGCGTCTAGGCACATCAGCCCATTTCCCTGGCTTCTACATTCCTTGAGATTTAAGTGGTACTCTTTCTTGGTGGACCCTGGTGGCATAATGGTTTTTGCGTTGTGTTGCTAACAACAAGGTCAGCACTTAGAAGCCACCAGCTGCTCTGGGAGGGAAAGACAGGGTGTTCTACTTGTGTGAAGAGTTCGTCTCAGAAACCCACAGGGGCAGTTTTAGCCTGTCCTAAAGAGTCACTATGAGTTGGCATCTACTCAATGGCAGTGAATTTGGTTTGGTTTGGTTTTCCTTGGTGGTCAACTTTACCAACTAACTGATAAGAGAACTTTGCCTATAAAAATCACAGAAGTGTCTGGGCACTGAGCAAATCAAGGAAAGCACCCTGCCCTGGGAGGTGGGGCCCTAGAAGACACCAGGCCCAGGCCGCTCCCACAGGAACCAAGGAAGCTTGTGGGAAAAGGGAACAGCTGGGGGTGCTTTAGAGAGAAGGAAGGACCAGGCACTATCTGTAGGTCAGCTGACATTTAATCATCAAATGACGCCCCCTCATCCCCATGGTAACGTCCGCAGCTGCATTGCCTTTGCCCTCAGCCTTACCTTTGTATCCACCCACTTCCTGCGACAACGTTCTCTGCCAGTCTAGTCTTCATATTCATATAAAACTGCTCTCTGCTACATAATACCCCCCCTCTCCAGTATAGCTTGTTAATTAAAGAAGCAAGTGTATAACATTTCAATCATGTATCTCTTAAGACTTAGCAGGCACTTCAATATAGTGAGCTTCCTTCAAGTAGTTTGTAGGACTGGGGACTGGAATAGATCACCCGGCTGTCTGAGTTGACAAAGTGCTACTGGTTTGTCGTACTTTTAGGCCCCTCAAAAACTTATCCAGCAGAGGGATAGCTCAAGATACCCTTCTTGAAATTCTACCATTCCAGATATCCTCTCAACTTTGGGGGTGGGGGATTTAATCCCCAAAACAACACTGTATGGAAACTGCTGAAGGTAAGCAAAATGTTCTCTTTATGTGTTCCTGTGAAATACAGTGTCTTCTATGTCAGCTCTTCATGAAACACGTGGACATGTTAAGAAGACACCAAACTTCGGGATTCAGAGACAGCACTGTGTGAGAAGGAAAAGCAAGCCACTTCAGAATGAGATGTTTTGTTCCTGTGTGACATTGACAACTCTCTCTCTCTCTCTCTGTGTCTCTCTCCCTTGCTCTCTCGCTCACTCACTCGCTTACTGGTCCTTAACTTGTCCAAGGGAGCAGTTCAAAAGAAGGCGATGGCTTCTTCATCTGCTTTTGAGTCAGACCTGGAAGAACTCTTGTGGTGGCAAACATACCGGTGTTTGCCCGCAGTGTTGGGCACATCCTAGGAGCTCAGTACATATGTGTAGGTGTGGGAAGGAGACCCTTGGTAAAACTACTGCTGGGCTCTAAGCAAGTGCCTTAGCACAGGGCTTTTTGGACGCTGATGTATAAATGAATCACGTTCTCATTCCATAGAAAGCTCATTTCCTCTGGGGTGGACCTGAGATCCTGCACTTCTGGAAAGCTCCCAGCTGATACGGATGCTGCTGCTCTCGACCACACTGTGAGTAGCAAGGCAGGTCTCAGAGAACAGCCTCACCACGTGCGATAAGTGGGGGCATCTATGGCAGTTTCTCACTTTCCCAAGGTTTAAAAATACTGGTTTATAAATTTGCAATAAAAATCCTACCTAAGAACCTATATCACTCAATTTTTGACTTACAGTCAATTTTGACTTATAGCAACTCCATAGGACAGGGTAGAACTGCCCCTGTGGGTTTCTGAGATTGTAACTCTTAATGGTAGTAAAAGGTCTCATTTTTCTCCTGAAGAATTTAGAAGGATAAGTGAATACATTTTGTCATATTACATAATGGGCATTAATGTATTTGCATAAATTTTATACCATGCCACCCATATTTAGGGAGAAAAAATTTTTCAACAAGAATAACAATTTAGACTTTGAGCTATTCAGTTTCTTATGTACTGATGTGAACTTGTCAAAAGGAAAATAAACTAAATTAGTAGGGAGGGGTGTACTTTAAAAGCCAAAAGCTAAACAAAAACCCACAGCTATTAAGTTGATTCTGACTCATGTTCAGCCTCTGTAGGGTTTCTGAGACTATAAAACTTCACTGGAGCAGACAGTCTCTGTTCTCCCATGGAGTGGCTGGTGGGTTTGAACCACTGACCTTGTGGTGAGCAGGCTAATGTTTACCTGATAACACCACCAATGCTTTTGATGGATAATTACAATTAAACAGATCACTTACCACTTAACAAATTATTCTGGTGTGTGCCAGGAAGGGCACAGACATTAAATGAAACCTGCTCTCTGATGGGCATCGGATAATACACAATCCAGTAGAAAAGAGAGTCAAATATGTGGATCACAAGGTGAGACGAACAAAGGAAGACCAGGTTCAAGGGGGAGGACAAGAAAGAGGCAAAGGATTTATTCGATGAGGGTGCATTCAAGTTCTGAGAAACATTCTGTAAGTAGAAAGTGGGTGGAGGGTTGTGGCATGAGAAAGGGGCGTATAGCTGAGGAAATGTAAAGTCACGACAATTGAGGGGGACGTGGCAGCCTGCAGGGTGGGTGGAAGGGCAGAGTGAGGACATCACCCACTTATTCTCTTTACATGTCGGCAGCAGCTCAGGGAGTGGGTGCCGTTGGGCATCTCACGCACTGGCATTGAGCCCATTCGGACTCAGAGCTCTGTTGGCCGAGTGGGCAGTGCACTGAGGTGCTGGCATGCACTACGGTCTGCAGTTTGAAAGCACCAAACGGTTCTGTGGGGGAAAAGATGAGGCTATCCACTCTAATCATAAAGAGTTACAATGCTGGGAAGAAATCCACGCTGGCAGTTCTACCTTGTCATATAAAAATCCAAAAAAATCAAACTCCCTGCCATCGAGCGGATGCCTACGCATAGCGAGCCTATAGGACAGGGGCAAACCGCCCCTGGGAGTTTCCGAGACTGTAACTCTTTATGGGAGTAAAAAGCTCTGTCTTTCTCCCATGGCGTGGCAGGTGGTTACAAACTGCGGACCTTGCCGTTAGCAGGCCAGCCTATAACTACTATGCCGCCCCATCTTATCGGGCCATTGTAACCTCGTTTGTGATCTCATAGGCAATGATTGGCAGAGCTGTGACTAAAAGGTTCTCCATCACGGTGCCAGGGGCTTTCCAGGCATTTCATGCTGCCGATTGTTGCTATTTGCCTTGGAGCTGAGCCAATGCCCACCGTGTGGGTGCGGAGTGAAACAGCTCCATCGGCTCGCCAAGGCTGTGACCGCTCAGAATGGGGTCTCCAGGCCTGTCTTCCAAGGGCAGCCCTGGGTGGGTGTGAATGGCCAAACTTTTGGCTAGTGGGCCACTTAAGTGCCCCACCCTGGGACTCCTCCTAGTAGTAATCAATAGATAGGATGTGTTAGCGAATATAAAACATGAACCTTTGTTTATGAGCATAGCATATTAAAGAGTTCAAATTGAGTTCTATATTGAAGGGGGCCATGGGCCACTTTTAAGGAGAGTAAAATGGTTCATATTGCTCTTTAGGAAGCGAGCCCTGGCAGAATGGAGAATGGCTTTGGATGACATTGAAACACATTATCCAAGAAGAAAGGATACACAGCCTTCAGCACAGAGACTGAAGGGGGGGGGCGGATATGGGGGGCGGGCCCTGCTTAATGTTTCTGCTTGCCTCCTCACCACGAGTTCTACTCCAGACCT